TCTGCCTTGTTGTTTGCAACTGCCATGAACTTCAGCCCCGCCATGCCACCCTGCCTTGGAGCCAACTGAGTATGGACTGAAAGCTCCAAAAACTGTAAGAAATAAACCTTTCCTTTCTCAACTTTGGACATCAGGTATTTTGTCTCAGTGGTGAGTAAAAAGTAACTAAGACAGAATTTGGTACCAAGGAGTGGGGTCATTGCTGTGACTATACCTGACTATGTTTTTTGAGAGGCTTTGGAAATGGCTTGTGGGCAGAGTTTGGAAAGATTTGGACATGTCATCTGGATGCATAGAGCTGGAGCAGCTTAGGCTATTCTGTAGAGGAGATTCTGGTCAGAGCTCAGGAGACCAGAAGACTGATGATAGAAAGCCTCATGGAAAACACCAGGCTTGGGAGGTTTCTGCTGAGAAGAAGGACTGCATTGGTTGTTGGGCTCCCCATAATGTGTGTTATGGCTTGGCATAAAGTTTGTCTGCATTTCGTTCATGCCCAGAGACTTTGCCTGAGACTGAGACTAAGGGCAATGGATTGATTAATCAGGTTTTCAGTGCCCTGGCAGTAGGGTGTGCATTTCCTAGTTTACTCGGCCCAAACTCACTCATCTAGCCTGTTTCTTTTCCTACATTTGAGTCACCAGCAATACATAATGAAATTGATCCTGAGGATTTGGCCGCTGTGTTCTCTCTTGCACTATGGCCCACTCTTCTTCTATAGGGTGTAATTTTCGCGGTGTGATTTGGGCCAAACTCACTTTTCAGAGTCTGTTTTCTTATCTTTAATAAAACTTTGCTACCATATGAGGGAGGGAAAGAGGCTTGCTTCTTCCTTTTTGCCATTTTTGCTCTTGCTATTTTAGTATCTGCTACCATCATGAATTTCAGCCCCTTTGCCTTGGAACCACCTAAATATGACTGAAACCTCCAATAACCGTGAGCTAAATAAAAATTTTCTCCTAATTTTTGGCACCAGGTATTTGATCCCAGAGAAAAAAAGAAAGAAAGGGAAGGAAAGAAAGAAAGAGAGAGAGAGAGAGAGAGAGAGAGAGAGAGAGAGAGAGAGAGAAAGAAAGAGAAGGAAAGAAAGAAAGAAAGAAAGAAAGAAAGAAAGAAAGAAAGAAAGAAAGAAAGAAAGAGAAGGAAAGAAAGAGAGAGAGAAAGAAAGAAAGAAAGAAAGAAAGAAAGAAAGAAAGAAAGAAAGAGAAAGAAAGAAAGAAAGAAAGAAAGAAAGAAAGAAAGAAAGAAAGAAAAAAACAAAAAAAGAAAGAAAGAAAGGGAAAGAAACCTGGACTTGTTTTGAGAGCTTTGGAAGCCATAGTCAGGCAAATCCCTCCTCATCATCATGAGTTGGCAGGGTGAGAAGCTTGGCTTTTCTTCAGTCTTCTTACTGCATAAATCAAGAGGCAAATGGCTTTGTCTTTCAAATAGACCAGCTGCAGCAGGTAGAGGAGGACCTTGATCAATAGCTGACTGACACACATATCATGTTGCAAGGTGTGGAAAGCACTGTCTCCTCCAGAAATGTCTCCAGAAGCGCGAGTCCTCAGGTCTGAGAAAGCTGCTGGGAAAATTTCTTGGTTTTGTATGCTAGACTGGCTAGTCATCAAATAATCATGGTAGAGGAACCCTGAGCCAATCTTTTGAAGTCTATGAGAAAATTTTCCTGAGTCCACAACTCTTGTATCATGCCTGTTCATCAAATAAACACAATGTCAAAATGCCAAATTCTGATGCCACCTTGATCAGTAGTCAGTATGCTCCTTGAGTCAAGGTGGCAGAGGCCTGGATGGCAGAACTATGTGTACCTAGATGGCACTGATTGAGCAGGCATTCCAGGAATTCTGTTCTCCCAAGAAAGATTTATGGTTTTTCACCTTTGATCCTGCAATGGGTAGGATCTTGCTGATTTCTGAGGTTTCCTCATGGCATCTTCTTGTCTCTGTACAAAATACTTGGGTTCTGTTAATGTTCATCTATTTGCTAAATATATTTACCTATTTAGCAAATATATTTGCGTTTGCCCCAACTTTGCAGGTCCTTCCTTTCTGGCAAAACTGTAAACATATCAAAGCATCCTGCTCTGGTATTTGCTTGTGTGTCCTAACACAGGTCTGGGTACAAGCAGCTATCAGTACCCATGCCAAATCCTGAACATTGGGCTGTCTTTGCTAGATCTCATCTAGTCCACATATCATACTTTTAGTCTTCCTCAAAGTCTTAGGATATGGTCAAAATAGAGATAAATTTTCCATTTATGACAGAGTGTAATACCCATGGTATCTAGACCTATTTCCAACATATCACTTTTTTAAAAAGCTATAACCTCCTGAGCTTAGTATTTACTGACACACTGACTTGATACTGTCAGCAAAATTTCCATTAAAAGAGCAGGTGTCTATGTAAGAGGAGGAAATTGAAATCATTTGGTACTGAAAAACAGTGAAATCAACAGGGAGTAAAACATTGAGAGGGGAATGGAAAGGCCACTAATGGGGCATCTGTGCTATTAGTGAATTTGGCATGGTATCCAGATTCAGAGAACAGGCTCTCTGGGGCAAGAGAATCTATACTCTAGGGCAGAGAGTTGTTTTGTTTTTGGAAAAGAGTGCTTGACATCTCCTGATGTCACCATGGGAGCCTCCCTCCTGCAGCACTTAGTCCCATTAGACGCCTTCACTGGGAAGGAACTGTGCGAAAAGGTGATAGATGGGAGGTGTTTTCCTGGGGGCTCCTGGGTCTCCTCCCAAGAGGCTCCAGCCACATCAGGATAAACCCTCCATCCTGGGTATCCTCACACAAAGCAGCCAGGCCACCTCTGCAAGGAAACTCATTGGCTTTAAGAGGTGGACAGAGGTCTCTCCCAGACTGAAGATGGAGAAAGGTAAGGACCTGTGCTCTGTGTGCTCTGCTTGGCCTCTGCCCTGCCATGCCAAGCTCTTCCTGCTGCAGTGGGCACTCACCTCCATGGCTGCATAGTAGATAAGAGCAATGTTACCTTACAGTTTTAGCATGCAGTGGCATCAAGGCCCCAGTGCCTAAACGGGCAAAAATGGGCTCCTGGGTAGGATTAAAGCACTTCCTTTTTATTCTGCACAAAGCAGTCATGTACCTCAATGTAGTAATTTGTGGACAGTGAATGTATATTTTTAAAAAATTACCTTTGAATACTACAATTGGAATTCAGGGCCTCATGCATCCTAGTCTCAATTTCTGCCAGTGAGCTGCAAACCCAGGTACATTAGAGTAACATCTTCTGAGAGGCAATTAATAAAATTGTTGAACCCTCTCAGAGAGTGATGGTGATGGTGATGATGATGATGAAGAAAAGGTTTAAAAATTCAAATACGTGGCAGTTCCATTGAGGTTGTCCCCATAGGGCAACAGCACTGCAGGCTCAGCCTTCTAGGTTCTGAATGAGCTGCTGTACTCTCTGGGTGTGGTGTTGTTTTTTCTTGTCTGGGGTCTTCATGGTGACCTCATTTTGGGAGCATGAATGCAAGGATCCTGTTTTTCCCCTCAGATTCAAAGAGCCTATGGATCCCCAAAACTGGTCCACAGAATGAGATTCCCTGCATTTCTCCAAGCCCAGAGCAGCTTCAGGCTGGGGCTGTGCGCAGCTCCTTCAAGGGACACTTTCAAGGCTGCTGACTGCATGTGGGACAGAGGCAGCCTCATTCCTCTGCTCAGGTCGTGGGAGAGTTCTAGAGCTGCAGTCCCTGTCTTCAGGAAGCACACTGCACCACTGGCCAGGACCACTGTCCTCTCGCAGTGCCCAGCAGGGGATGAGCACTAGGCATCCTGTGGGTGCTGCTGGCTCTGATGAGAGCCCTCCTTCTGGGACCTGCACATTCACCCACTCTTAGCAGGGTGAGGGAGCCCAGCCACTCCTGGAAGCCTCCTGGCTGTGTTATGAACAAAACACACAGGGTCGCTCTCCTTGGCTTCTGCTGAGGGAGCCCCAGGTAGGCTCACAGGGACCCAGGGACCAGTACCTGTGTGTGGCTCCAGGAGCCCTTTCTGGGTCATGCTTCCCAGGGCCCGGGCACTGTGGCACCTTTGGCTCCTTCTGCTACAAGGCCATTCGGGATGTGCATGAGATCCCTGAACAACCTCTGGGAAGGGTTTCTATTGAATTCCTCAAATAAGACCTGGCTAAGTAATAATCAGCCTCAAAAACCAGAGATGAGAAATGCCAGCCCCAGTCAGCACATCCTTGCCATTCTTGCTGTGATACATTGCTGTGATACATTCTGTCAACTTGAGAAGTTTAACTAAGAGACTCAGCAGGGAACAGGGTTCTTACTTTGTATCTGTGCAAGAAGAGGGCAAGAAGATTTTGTGAGTGCTACACTGGCCCTGGAGGGACATGACCTGTGTACAGTGTAAGGGAAGAAAAGAGGCTTGCTCGTCTCCTTTTTTCTTTTGCTTTTTTGCAGTTTTCTGCTGCCTTGAAGCGTTACCCCTGTGCCATGCCACTAGACCTTGGAACCAGCTGATTATGGACTGAAACCTCCACAAACTGTGTCTCAATAAATCTTTCCTTCCTTAATTTGGGGTGTCAGATAATTTGTGCCAACAATGAAAGAAAAGTAACCAAGATACTGGCCTTACAGAGCAACCATTCAGCAAGAGAACAGTACTTACATTTAAGTTGGTGAATGCCTGACTGGGGCTGGGTTTTCCATCTCTGGTCTTCCAGGATGACTATGTTCTGGCTGGTATCACTTTTGAGGACAGAGGGCTAGTTTTCAGGGCTCAGCTGGGGAATTCTCATACACTCAAAGTTGGGCTTCTGAGGGGTGACTATGTTTTGGGTCCCATGGTGACTTCCCATGAGGGGTGGGACTGGGCAGAGCAGGTCTCAGGGGTGGCATGGATGGCTTGGTGCCCTCTCTCACTCCTCCTCCATCTCTCTCTGCTTCCTGCTCTCCAGGAGGCAGCAGCTTCCCCTGTGCAAGGTCCTTGCCCCCATCATGTCTGCTTGGGAGCTGAGAACCGGAATGGAGCACCTGAACCAAATCCCCTTGTCCAGCTATTGGCTTTCCGTGTGCTGTTGGCTGTCCTTCATCTCCTGGCCGGGTCCTTTCTGTTCACTGCAAGGCTGGGCTGACACAGAGACCCTGGACCACAGGGATCAAACACGTCTGCCCAGCACTGTATCCTTCCTCTCACAGCTGCTGTGTGGGCACTATGACTGGTCCTCCCGGTGGCTGAGGTCTTCCCCGGACCAGGAGACACAGATCCCTGCTGTGCAGGGCGCAGAGGCTGTGGGAGAGGAAGGAGTGCGTGGTGAGTGGAAGTGAGTTTCAAGAGGCTGGGGTTGGGGTGGGGGCTGGGCCTGCACTGAAACACAGGTGAGGGGAGGAGGCTTGTGGGGTGCTGGTCAGAGATCTGGCAGGAAGAGGCTGGAGCGATGTTAGTAGGCTGGGGATTTGCAATGAGTAGTGGGGGTGATATGGGTGAGAGGAGCAAAAGGGAGACAGAGGAAGATGAAAGGAGGATATGGGCCAGGCGTGTAACAGGGTCACTGTTGCTATGAACACTTTCGACCTGGGGACCTCTCGCCTGAAGTGAGGTAGACTCTGGGCTTCAGTGCAGAGGACCATGGGGCACAGTTTTCAAGGTCTTCTCGATACTGTGTGGGGGCTCCATGGCCCTCAGAAAGGGTTGTAGTCTAGGACAGGATGAGCTCATACACACTAGCAAGGAGGTCCTAGAACTTCCAGATGACCTAGATATGGGATGACATGGAGAGTGTCGAGGGGACCCTGGGTTCCTGAGGGCAGCCTGATGCCATGGGGCTCTTGCATGGATAGATCAGGGAGCAGGCATAGCCTCCAACCTGTGACAGGGGGCCAGAGAAGAGTGGACAGGACAGGGAGGAGAATGATGACCTGAGAGGAGGGGGCAGGGGAGAGGGGCGACTGGGAGCCATGTGGAGCCCTTTCTCTAAGGGATGTGAGAAGGTTGTGATGCAGGCCCTGAAGGTCAGGACACCTGATGGCCACTCCTCAGGCCCCTGTCCTGGTCAGCAATGTCCTCTGGATTCCATTGTTTGCTCACTGTACTGTCTGCACCCTTCCGCTTGTGGTAGCATCCCAGGTCCATAGGGCTTAGGCTGTAGGACCTTGCATATGTGTGTGTTAGAGGAAGCTGGCAGGATGAACCCATGGGGAGGCCATGAGGACGCTGTGCCCAGTTCATCCCAGGTGAGTTTGTGCAATGATTCTCTCCACAGGGTTCTCGTTGTGTGGATGTCCCCGGGCAAAGGTGACTCCACGATGGGCTATGTTAATTCTACCCCAAGACCCTGGAATTGGATGGAGGAGAATATTTCTAACCTTGTACATATCCAGGCTGCATGGATCACTTACCCTCTTGGCACCGCCATCTCCCTCCTAGGGCTGGGGGGCAATGGACTCGTCTACGTCTTCCTGGTCTGCTCTGTTGAGTGGGACCACTTCTCTGTCTTTCTTTTTCACTTGGCTCTGGCTGATTTTAGCCTCCTTGCCTGTCTGGTAGTGCATTTCATGGGAAAGATCCTTGAGTATTTTCATGCCATCTGGATTTCATGTCCATACCTGGAGTCTTTCATTCCCACGTTCTACGTAGCAGTGCTCTGCCTGGTGGTCACCATCAGTGTGAGCCACTCCCTGTCCATCTTCTTCCTCATCTGGTACCGACTGCATTCTCCGAAGTATGCGTCCACCATCGTGTGCATTCTGACCTGGGTCTTGGCCATTTCCCTAATTGTGCTGAATGAAACGTTCTATGACTCTGATTCAATAGATAGAACATTTTGTTACTCATACATTACAGTGATGCTTCTGTTTATCATCACTGTTCTGTCTGTCACACTACCATGCACTGTGATTATGCTGCTGAAAATCAAGTGTGTCTCCAGGGTGCATCCACCCCGCAAGCTGTACATCGCCATGGCCCTCTCAGCTGTGTCCCTTGTATGTTTGGCCCTCCCTGTACTGCAACCCTTTCTGTATGATAAATATGATCTCCCATATAATGAGGAGCTTTTGTTACTGTTCTCCTGTGTGAACAGCAGCGCCAACCCCTTGGTTTATTACTTTGCAGGGAGAATGGGAAGCCAGAGGCTCTGGCTACACTTAAGGGAGGTTTTCCAGAGGGCCATGGGGGAAGAGTTGGACCCCTCTCCCGGACCCTCTGGTCACTCCACCTAAGGGTCAGTGTGAGTGCTGAAGTGACCCAGCTGGTGTGACAGGGCTCCTGAGGGACTCTGCCTGTGCCCTCTGTCCCCAGCGAGGTCACAAATGCAGCAGCTTCCAGCATCTGCAAGCCTGGCCTTTCACGCTGCAGCATTAGTGTCCTGAACTTCCCTGTGTGTGTGGGACAGTCCAGGTCTGGCTCCCATCCCTGTCTGAGCAGAGCTGTCCTGGCTGCTGTCCCATTATACATCACTGAGCTTTTCTTGCTTTGGTGAGGATTTTTTTTCTTCCATGCAGGCCAGTAAGCAACTAGACTGCATTTTCCATGTATTTATTATGGCAGGTGAAAGGCGGCCTCTGTGCAGCATATTCAAATTCACCCACATTCCACCCTGTGGGTGCTCAGAGGGCTCCATGAGAGGCTTCCCCTTCTCACTTGGAACTTGCTTTGCAGCCCAGGTTGCCCTGGAACTCATAGGGATGCCCCTGCCTCAGCCTCCCATGTGTTGGGATTACTTGTGTCTACTGCCACACATGACTGAAGACTTTTAAAGGAATTTTAAGCACTTTTAATGTTATTATAAATTGCAACCTCCATAATTTGCTTTCTTATTTTGACTCTGAAATCACAAAATGACTTTTTAAATTTCCATTCCTGCCAGCAATGCAGTGGGTGGTGCTCCCTGCACCAGCCTTCATACTTGTCTAATTTAGTTTCTTTTTTGAGTTTTAGTTGCTTTTGCACATTGGAAGTCCGTAGTGTTTCCATCCCTTACCTGAAGCTGGTGCATGCACAGAAAACATCTTAATCCCTTTTTTCACCCTCTTTCCTTTCCATTCCTCTCCCTCCCTCTATCCCCTTGTCTCCTTCCCTTTGGGAAAGACCTCTCTCCCCGCTTCCTCTGTCTCTCACTTTACCCTTTATTTATACTTTGAGTTTCTCATGCAATGTTTCAGCTTCTGAGTCTGATTTATTTCAGTTAACACCTTGGACTCCAGGTGCATCCATTTGCTTAGTGAAGACTTAAATTTACTGTTCTTTGTCGATTTTTGATGATAAAATAAGATAGAACATCACTATTTCTGGAATGAGATGAACATCCCTGTTCTTTTAGTTTGCATTTTTCTAATGGCCTTGGATGTTGAACTGATTTTCATGTATTTGTTGGCCATTTGCACTTCTTCATCTTGTTAAAAAGTTTTCATTGCAGTTACAATCACTGTGGAAATTGGTATGGAGATTTCTCAAAAAACTAAAAGTAGAAATTTGATTACACCCACATATTCCCCTTCTGGGGGTCTCCCTGTCAGAGTTGAAGCCATCTCCTTACCACACACGGCCAGCCCATGCGCAGGTAGTGCAGCTCAGAACAGCTAAATCCCACAGAGACCTGCCTGGCCCTCAAGAGCTGAATGGATAAAGACAGTGTGGTGCTGCTGAGCACAGGTGTCCTCTGCCCCGAAGAAGGACACGCCTGAGGCTCTGGTAGGGACGTCGATGCGTCTGGAAACCATAACATTAGGTGAAAAAAGCCAGGCACACAGCTTCACTATCACCTGGCTGCTCTCACATGAGAAAGCCAACACAGAAGGAAAGAGCAGGATGAAGAAGAGATAGGAGAAAGCAGGGAGATCTTTCTCAAATGGGAAAGAAAACAAGAGATGGAGGAGTGGGGAGGGAGATGAGGGAAAGGACTGAAAACAATTGGAAGAAAGAAAGGAAATAGAGCTTTGGCACATGGGGAGGGGATGAAGGAGGAGTAGGGGGGGAGGAGGTGGACAAGAGGAATTAAGACGTGGTGAGAAGGTGCACAGTACATGCCATCATTATTAACTGGCACCTGTACTAATAAAATAATAACAAGAGCAAATCACACAATGGGATTCTCATGTTCCCTTTTATCTGTCAAGCTTGATGCACTCTCCATAACCCCAGCATTTGCATGCTGCTCTTCACCACCTCTGAGTCACACCACCATTGTCTCCCTGCAGCTCCCTGACTTCACCTCCCCAACCCTGACTGTCCTGCTAGGTCTGTGCCCAGTGCTCAGTGCTGGTGGCCAGGGCCCTTGGCTTTGCCAAGGTTCACAGGAGCTCTTCTCCTCCTCATGCTGTTGGGCTGACTTCATCTGAGGACAGGGGTGGTGGAGAGCACTTGTGAAAAGTGCTTGGGAGACCAGCACCCCACGGTGTCCCAGGGAGAGGACAGGAGAGGATGTGTTAAGGTCATGGCTGGATGTGAGGTGTCCCATAGGCCCACGAGCTCAGAGGGTGGATTTTGGAAAAGTGATCAAATTATGAGGGTTCTGACTTCATCAAATGAAATAAGTCCTTTGTGAGTTCATTAGCCCATGGACTCATGAGGAGGCAGAGCCTCTAGGATGAGGAAGGTCACTAGATGGGAACTTGAAGGACATTTGTGTCTCAGTGTTTTTCTTCCTATTCTTTCAATTCCCCTCTGCCTCCTTATTCTGTAAAGTGAACAATTTCTTCCACCACACTCTGGCACAACCATGAAGCTTCTGCTTCACTGCTGGTGTAACCTGGTGGAGGCAGTGGTCTATGGTTCGCTGTCTCTGAAACCATAAACCAAAGTAAGTCATTCTATAAATTGTTCATGTCAGGTATATTTTTCATAGGAATGGGGAATTTACTTAGAGGGAGCAGGTGATCATACAGTGCAGGAAACTATAGGCCACAGGTGTGTGTCTTGTGATAGTTAAGTGGATGTGTCAACCTGAGTGAGAAACACTCAGCTCAGTTGGATCAGCACATTGCTTTCTGTGGGGTCTGACTGAAGACAGAAAACTCACCCTACGTGTGAGGGCTACCAAAGGTGTAAAAGGGAAACAAAGCAGAAGTCTTGCTTCTGTTTCATCGGAGCTGCTTCAGGATTTGCTTCACCGTCACCTTGGACGTCATCTCCTGCCCCGAACTCGGCTCTTCAGTCTTCCAGTGCTGACCCTTCAGCTGTCCACTGCAGAACCGTTGTCCTCCTGCTATGAACTCACATGGGCAACTACAGTGAGCACCAGGCTTCAACTTTTTGCATCTTCAGAACACAGACAGCACTTTTTCACACGTGACTCTGTGAAAGGCCAATTTAAGCCCATCTTTTAAACTGTTTTACATTTGTGTATCTTGAATTAACCTTGTTCTTTAATTGATACACAGCGAATACTTTAAAAACTAGAAGAAAGTGTTCTGAAAGTTTTCATCATAGAAATGGCAAACATTTGAGGAGATATGCATGTTTACCCTGATTTAAATACTGCACAATGTTCGCAGGTACAAAAACATTACATAATACTACTATATATGTACAATGATTATGTTTCTATGCAGCTATTAACATTTCCTTAAACACCTAAACAATTGAAAAATTAATGAAGAACAATGGCATTGGTGTTCTCCTGGCATGAAGTCCATATGAAACAGAGGAGAACCGTGGAGTCACCATAAAGAACACAAGATGGGGACGACGTCAGGGTTCCAGACCCACCAGGATGTCACAGCCCCAGACTCATGACAATAGGATTTGTCTCACCTTCCATCACTAACACATAATCTGGGTGTTTCAGGGAAGTCACTTGCTTCAGTGGCTACTAAAGGAAGAGTTCCTCCCTTGACTGGTCCCAGAGTAGGAGCTCTGTGACTGTACGATGCTCATTATCCAGAGGACAGGTTGCATTGCTGGATGTATCTTTTTCTTCAGGTCTCTTGAAGCTTTGCTTGCAAGGCCAATTTTCTTCTGGTTACATATGTAGAAACACCATTACACAGATACTACTCACTATGCTGGGGAAGTCATGAAGATTTTGAAAAATCACTTATTTCCTATTCTCTCTTGGGCCTCTACTATGTATACTTCTTTCTACTTCTGAAGTGAGTTTTGCAATATTTCAGAAATCTTTTCTGTTAAGTATTTCAAACACTTCAGTTGCTCTTTGAAAGCTGCTGATACACCAGACAATGTACATAGCATCCTCGGTCCTCCAGCATCTGCAGAAGCTGTGGATGGCCTCCTGTTTTTTCTGACATTATATGTTATCCCATCTTTCTCTGGTCCAAACAACCAACAGCTGTCTCATGATACATTCATTTCAAAGATCTAATTTTCTGTGGAGTTTCTCTACTGTGTGCTCATTCATGAGTGACAAGTGATGAAGGGAGTGTTGGGAATCACATTAGCTTTATCTGGCTGAGAAAAAACGCTGATAGGGTTGACTTGCAGAATAAAAGGTTTACTTAGGCTCATAGTTCCAGAGGTTCATTCTATGGTCAGCGGGTTCCATTATGGGGCTGAATAGAAAATGATGACAGGTTGTGGTGAGGAAAATCTCAGCTTAATCAAGTAAGGAATCTGAGAAAGCAAAAGCCAGAGGGATGGAGCTTGGACCACCTACAGTCCCAGGGTCAAGCCTGCACCATCCACTCCCTCAGCCAGGTCCTATGTGCCATTTCCAGTTCTTCCCCAAAATCCCCTTGAATTGATCTCACTAGTGGATGAATGCACTGTTGAATGTAGACACCTTGCAAATCAACCAGTTCCCCATGAGCTTTTCAGATGACAAACAAGGCTCTGTCATCCGATTTGGCAGCATTTCACATCCAACTGTACCAGAACTATTACTCTGCCCTCAGAAAGCATCTTGGGAAGCACTCATTACCAAATTCTTCTGGACCCTGGAACCACATCTATGAAGGTATCTGCATCCTGCTACAAATCATCATCAAGGTGCTGCTGGTCATTTTTTGACAGAATTTTGTTCCTGTTTGTCTCAGATTGAGAAAATTAAGATGGACTGAAGGCTTCTTATAGCACTTTTCTTTAGTCAGTTTATTTCAGGCATAGTCATTATTTCTTGCAAAAAATACACTACAACTCTTCAAAGCCTGAGTTTAAATGTGATTCCCATAACTGGACAAATGGTGTCTGTGTGTAGTTCTGCAATGACGTAGAGGGGAGGGACAAGGCACAGTCAGAGCTTAATGAGCTAATGTCACCCTCCAGT